TTTAAAAATTTTTGCATAAACTTTTTGAGATTTGTTTTGTGTCCTAACATACAGTCAGTCAATCCTGGAGAACATTCCATATGCTGATGACAAGAATGTGTACTGTGCAGCTGTTGGATGAAATGTTCTATAAATGTCTGTTAAGTCATTTGGTCTGTGATCTAGTTTAAATTCCATGTTTCTTTGATGATTTTCTGTCTAGATGATTTGTCCTAGGCTAAGAGCGGGTGTTGAAGTCCCCAGCTGTTATTGTATTGAAATCTATATTTGCCTTTAGATCTAATGTTGCTTTATAAATCTGGGTGCTCCAGTGTACATGTATATTTACAATTGTTATATCCTCATGTTAAATTGATCCCTTTATAACTATAAAATGACTTTCTTCATCTTTTTTTTACAGTTTCTGACTTAAAGTCTGTTTTATCTGATATAAATATGGCTAATCTTGCCTGACTTTGGTTTCCATTTGCATTGAATATCTTATTTCATTTCTTCACCTTCAGTCTATATGTATCTTTACAGGTGAAGTAAGTTTCATGTAGGCAGCACATAGTTGGTTCATTTAAAAGAAAAATCCATTCAGCCAGTCTATATCTTTTAAGTAGGGAATTTAATCTATTTACATTTAAGGTTATTAGTGATAGGTGAAGACTTACTCCTGTCAATTTGTTACATGTTTTCTGGTTGTTTTGTATATCATTTGCTCCTTACTTCTTCTCTTACTGTTTATTTTTGCAGTTGAGTGATTTTCTGTAGTGATAAGATTTTATTGCTTTCTCTTTCTCCTTTGTGTATCAGCGCTACCAGGGAGTTTTATAGTTTTGCATGTTTGCATGATGGTGGCTATCATCTTTTCGTTTCTATATATAAGTCCCTTCAGCAATTTTTGTAAGGCCAATCTAGTGATGAATTTCCTTAGTTTTGGTTTATCTGGAAAAGATTTCGATCTTAAGAATTTTCTTAAGATTATTATTTTAAATTCTTTTTCTGACATTTTATATATTTTCTTATTATTGATGTTTGTTACTGGAGAATTATTGTTTTCCTTTGGAAGTGTCATGTATCCTGTGGTCCTATGTTGAGTTCTATGCATCTAATGGAAAAAATGCCTCTTCCTATTTTATGGAGTAGTGTCACAGGGAAAGACTTATTTGTATGAATGGGTCTTGGGATGTCAGTTCAGTGGGTTGCGTTGGCTTTGGTTCTAAGTGGATGCAATAGTGTAGTCTCCATGTAGTTTCTTCAGCATTTGCAAGTTTCTCAGTGGCCTGGGCTTAGAGAGTTTGTGGCATCAGTGGTGCAGTTTTGCCAGGGTTGGGCTCACCAGGCTGTTTCTCAGGTCAGGGACAGACAGGCACATACACACAGTGGGTTGGCCAACCTGGGGTCTGGCTTGCTGGGTTTGGGGCCATGGGCTGTTAATGCAGCTGGGAGCATGATCACACAGTTGTTGTCTGTGAGTAGCAGCCTACAGAAATGTTTCTTAGGCCTGGTGTTTCTCAGAGTTATGCACCAGGGATGTGGGTGCACAGTTGCTTGGGTGCGGGTGATCTGCGGGCATGTTTACAGGGGGTGGCCCACAGAGCCGTTTCTCAAATCTGGAACACTAGTGCAAGTCTGCTTGGCTGACTCAGGGACATGCCCACTGGGGACAGCCTGTGGGCTATTTCTGAGGCCTGATATGTGGATACAGGGCTGCTTGGCAGCCTGGGGCATGTCCACCTGGGTGGCTTACGGCGCTGTTTCTCCGGTCCAGGATAGGGGTTCTTGCCTGTTTGGCTGACCTGAGGGCATGCCTGTCAGAAGCAACCTGCAGGACTGTGTCTCAGGCCCTGATTTTGGGTGCAGGGTCATTGGGCAGGCCAGGAACATATCTGTAGGGGATGGAGGCACTGTGGAATTGTTTCTTCATGTCCTAAGCACAGGCACACAGCCGTTCTGCTTGCCCACGGGTATATCAGTTGTTTAGAGGTTCAGGGGTCTCTCTCACTTGAGGGTATATATGCAGCAGTTTGGCTGGCTCAAGGGTGGGTTTTCCATGGATAAGACTGTCATACTCTCCCTCTGGCTAGAAGTGCAGCAGTGAGGGTTGGTTTCCCTGCTATGTGAGACCAAAGCCACAGCAGATCCTGGCCCAGGTTCTGCACAGGTGGTGTTGTGGTGTTCAGCCGCCACTGTGGGCTTGGTGGAATGGAGTTGGAGCCTTAGGGCTGGAGAGATGCAGTGGCTAGTGGTCCCATAGAGCAGGTTACTCTCCAGAGGTGGCTCTGATCTCAAGCAGCAGCTTGGCTCACAGGTGGTGACTGGGGAGTAGGAAGTGCATAGAAGTGCATACCTTGTGCTCTCAACCTGGGGCAATGTAACTGTGTGAATTCCTAGCAACTCCCAAAACTAGGCTCAGGGCTTGTGAGGACTGTAGGATTCTCCTGTTGTAAGGACTGTAGGTGTTTTTGGTAGCAATGGGGGCTGGTGGGGCTCTTCTGCTTACCTTTTCCCTGCAATGGGAAGTCTCCCCTGACTCTGGGCAGATCTAGGCCACATGGGTGATATAGGTGCCTCCACACTGTCCTCCTGGACTTTCCATCACCACAGACATGTCTCTGTTCCCCAGCTGCCCTCCAGTGACCTTCCTTTGACACTGCAGTCACATCTTAGCAGTTTATTCATTGCTCTGGTCCTTTCTTGTGGGGGAAGGATGAATGCCAGGGGTCTCTAGTCAGCAATCTTGCTGACATCACTCTCTGAGAATTTTTCTATACTACCCCTTAATTGCTTTTTAAAATATTGAAAATTATAAGAATAACTTTAATTGTTAGGATGAAAAAGGCTCAGCAGATACTGTTTCATTAGTCTCACTGTTATGATCACTATTAGAAATGATGAAAAAATGAATCCCTAAATAGCAAAAATCATGGAATTTTAAAGATATAAAAGATCTTGAGAATTAACAAATCTCAAATTAGTCAAGGTCTCACCCCTCCCTTCTCAGCTCCCTACGCCATTTATCAGCTGACTCTACTGGAAAGAAATAAATAGATGAAGAAAAACAAAACAAAACAAATTTTGGTTACAAGTAATCCTCTTAAGCCCAATTTAATAAAGCATGGATTTCTTTTTTATTGCCTATTTGCATCAGGAACATAATTACTAGCTAGAGTCTAATTTGAGAATGTTAATTATGAATGAAAGATGTAATATTTTAAGAACAGAATGGAATTCACTACTGCTGTATTGCAGAGACATTAGTAGGATTTAATCATGCTAGTGAGGTTGAAAAATAAGTTATATATATTATTTTTCTTTTCCAAAACCATGGATTTCAGTGACACTTTATAACTGTGTACTTTGGAACACTGATAAAAAATTAAGCTGGGTGCAACAGCTCATGCCTGTAATCCCAATACTTTGAGAGGCCCAGGTGGGAGGATCGCTTGGGCTCAGGAGCTCAAGACAATCCCGGGCAATATGGCAAGACCCTGTCCCTACAAAAACGAAAAAATTTTCTGGGCATGGTAGTGAACACCTGAGGTCCCAGTTACTCAGGAGGCTGAGGCAAGGGGATTGCTTGAGCTAGGAGGTCAAGGCTGCAAAGAGCCATGGTAGAGCCATTGCACTCTAGCCTGGCTAACAGAGGGAGACCTCGTCTCAGGAAAAAAAAAAAGTAAACAATGATCTTGTTGAATATTCTGCCCTCATATTTACTAGTCTTTAAAATTTAAATTGAGCATCTTAAATCTAGATGAGTGAAAAATGTTGGAGACTTAAACTTATCTATACTGTCACTTTAGGTCCTTTAGAAATGAAGAATTTACTTTATAAAGTATTTATATTTTTTCTCATATCTTGACAGTAGTCCTACCATGGCTCTTTCCTTTGTTTTAAAGAGGATAGTGGCAGGCTTTATTTTAATTTGCACCTATTATTCAAAGTACATTTACTTGATATTTCTCAGTCTCTTGAAAATTTTTATCATTAAGCTTAACCTTCATTTAAGTCACCAGATCTATTTGATAAAGACTATATGAATATTTATTTGTGAACTGTATAGAAAATTACTGTTTTAACATTTACTTTCTGTAAGATCCATTGTAGAACTTGAACTGGGTGTATTTGCCAGACCCCTTAAAATGGATCACAATTATGTCTTTGCATGTTTATTTTATAGGATAATAGCTAAGACAATTTTTCTTCCTAAACTATTTGTTTTATTCAATATTTCCAAAATATTTATTGAAAATGTGTCAAGAAATAAGAATTTGGTGAAAATTATGTGACTTAAGTTTATGTTTTAGTAATGCCAATGAGGTTAAGGAAATATTTTAATTATTATCAATTTTAAAAATTAGGAGCACAGAAAATAAGCTTCTTTATCCAAAGACATTTCTTAAAGTGAAATCTTCTAAAAAACTGCTAGCCTCCTCTTTTATCCAACAAACCATAAGAAATGTTATTACATGTAAATAAGGTACATTATTTGCCTGCAAGATTCCCAAGCATGGCCACCCCTAGTAAGGCCACAGACTTGGTGGTAAAGAAGTTACCATTAGTTGGTGATTTCTCCTAACCATCCATTTCAGAATTTATCCCCAGGTCTCTTTGAAACCCTATATTCCCAACATAATTGACCTTATTTACGCAGCTCAGCAGCAGCAGCTAACTTCTCTCAGCCTGTTAAGGGAAGGACAAGGAGGCAGCAGTGTTGGGGATGCCAGCAGCCTATGGAGTGACTGGAATAGACATAAGAAGAATAGATTACATATTATTACGTACAATAAATTTTTACGGCTTTTACAGATTGAATAGCCCATACGTTGCAGAAATTTAGGTAATTTTAGTCTCATATGTTCTATAATCAGCAATGGCCTAGGCTTGCTAAACATGTTTCATTACCACCCACAAAGCATTTACAGAATGACTGGTTATTTTATATCTAGTAAATCTTGTCTAAATATTTGTGGTTATGCTGGCAAATTTTTGAAATGTGCTATTTATTTTTACAGGAGCTTGAGAACTGAATCAAACACTTCAGGTATGGAACAAATGCCACTACATATTTTATTGTGATCCCTGGTATCCAGTAGTCATCTCTGGTTCCTCCAAGAGTAGGGTGGTTAAGAGCAAAGGAATTCAGCTAGACTTTTTGATGCCTTTCCTTTCTTCACGATGCTCCATTCTGAGAATCCTACACTGAAGAAACTCTTTCTTAAAGCTGATCCTCAGGCTATCTTCCAAGTGGAAAACATTATAGTACTTTACTACTTCACTTTTCTTTTTCTGCACTGGTTTAGTTTCCCAGTTCCCTGGATCTAAATCATCAGGCATAAACCACGCCAAGCCTAGTTCTGCAGACAGCATGCAAACTACAGCAATCATAGGACCTGTCATCCTTGCTGATGTGTAACGGGAACGGTCCACAACTAAATTTTTGGTAAATGTAAAATTATCCAGCTCCTCTTTTTTCCTCCTACATCTTTAGCCTTTCCCAGGTGATACTATTTAATGTTTTTGTTTGTTTGTTGTTTTTTTGTGAGGCATAGTCTTGCTCTGTCACCCAGGCTGGAATGCAGTGGTGTGATCTTTGCTCACTGCAACCACTCTGCCTTTCGGGTTCAAGTGATTCTCCTGCCTCAGCCTCCTGAGTAGCTGGGATTACAGGCATTCGCCACCACGCCTGACTAAATTTTGTATTTTTCACTATGTTGGCCAGGCTGTTCTCAAACTCCTGATGTCCAGTGATCTGCCTGCCTGGGCCTCCCAAAGTGCTGGGATTATATGAGTGAGCCACCACTCTGGGCCTATTTAATGTTTGGGTGTTATTTGGCGATGGGGAGTGATGTTTTTTCTTTATATATTGCCATGTTCTAAGAATCTTTAGCCTGTAACGAACTTTTAATGTGGAGATTGTCTTATAGGCACCTCTTATAGTTTGTCTTATGGGCAAATCTCTCTCTTTGCTGAGTGCTAAAACAGCTCTAAGTTACTTTCAAACCTGGGAGACAGACCAAGCCTCAGCTTCAGTCATGCACATAAAAGAACACTATGGAAGGAACATTTAACTTGGCATAAGTGAAGAGAAAAAAAAAAATACTACTTCCAAAAGCAAGAATACTTGAAGGCAGTTTTAGTCACACGTACACGAGTCAGTCCCACAAAAAAAGCAAATTATTATAGGATAGGATTTTACACAAATGGGACTAGTCTTTGGACATTCCCATTGGGCTTTTTTTTTTTTTCTGAGATAGGGTCTCGCTCTTTCACCCAGGCCAGAGTACAGTGGCACAACTTTGGCTCACTACAACCTTCTCCTCCTGGGTTCAAGTGATTCTCCTGCCCTAGCCTCCCAAGTAGCTGGGATTACAAGTGCCCGCCACCACGCCTGGCTAATTTTTGCATTTTTAGTAGAGATGGGGTTTCACCATGTTGGCCAGGCTGGTGTCGAACTCCTGACCTCAGGTGATCCACCCGCCTCGGCCTCCCAAAGTGCTGGGATTATAGGCATGAGCCACTGCACCCTGCCCACGTTGGGCTTTAGTGTCTAAAAGTACCAGATGAACTTCACTGCAATGTGGTTTGGCCTATATTCCAATCTATACTATTGAACCTGAGAACATTATAGGGAAATGCTATCATAACTTATAAGAAAAGTGCAAAATCTCCTTTGCAGTACAGAATTTTAATCTATTAATTTCTACCCTAAACTGTATTTCATAAAGAAATCAAACTAAATTTGTAGAAATTTCAGAGAGATCTAGTATAGGCAAATATTTTCCTCTTAGTTTCTAAAAGCAAGGGTAAATCTACTAGCAGCCTTACTACTATTAAAAATATTACATGCAATTAGTACACTCTATGTACATTCTAAGACAGTCATGTATTTAGCCATGGAAGTTTCAAATTAATGTAAAGCATTGACATTGTTGTCTTCATTCTCTATATGACTAATTATTTTACCTGTTTTCTAGCACAGACTCAATTTTGTCCAATTGAACAATTTGATTCCTACCTATCATATATGAAGCACTGTGCAGGCTGTGGGAGGGATTAAAAAAGAATTGGACATAGCTGGGCATAGTGGTGTGTGCCTGTAGTCTCAGCTACTTGGGATGCTGAGGCAGGAGGATGACTTGAGCCTGGGAGTTTGAGGCTGCAGTGAGCTGTGATTGCACCACTGCACTCCAGCCTAAGCAACACAGTGAGATGCTGTCTCAAACAAAACAAAACATAGTAAAATAACAGAATATGTTACCTGGCCTTAGGACATGTGCACAAATAATATAAACCAGAATGTATGTTAATTAAGTATATGTTAAGAGAAGAGTCCAGAACTTATTTTTGGCTCAGGAAAGGAAATAATGAGACTCTATGAAAAAGGCAGGGCCGGGTGCAGTGGCTCACGCCTGTAATCCTAGCACTTTGGGAGGCCAAGGTGGGCAGATCACGAGGTCAGGAGATCGAGGCCATCCTGGCTAACACTGTGAAACCCCGTCTCTACTAAAAAATACAAAACAAAATTAGCCGGGCATGGTGGCGGGCACCTGTAGTCCCAGCTACTCGGGAGGCTGAGGCAGGAGAATGCCGTGAACCCGGGAAGCGGAGCTTGTAGTGAGCCGAGATCGCGCCACTGCACTCCAGTCTGGGCGACAGAGTGAGACTCCATCTCAAAAAAATAAAAATAAAAATAAAAATAAAGCAGTCTTTGAGTTAGGAAAGGGGAAAATGAGGATATCCTGAATATAGGAAATGGGGTGAGCAAAATCAAACAAATGGGAAAGTATTGGGCATCTCCAATTCAGGAGTAGTGAGACATGTGGCTGGAAAGCAAGGCAGGAGCCAAATTACGGAAATAACGGATCATGCTAAGAAGTTAGGTAGCTAAAAAGGAGCCACCGAAAGACAGAGAAATGACAACATTAGTGTTATGTTTTAGGATAATTACTCTGACTGCAGTCTCTAAGAGAAGCTGGAGGAGGCTAGAGGTAGGGAGACCAGTTAGAAAGCTACTCTAACAGTCAGATGAAGTGTGCCAAAGTCTGAACCATGTGAGGAGCAGTCACAGTGGAAACAAGGACATGAATCCATAGTCAACAAGAGTTATTGACTGACTGCCTGTGGGGACCAGAGGAAAAAAAACTGGGTATGTCAGTTTGGGAGACAACATGATGACTAGGTGATAGTAACCTTATGAAACAAGCTGGGAGAAGGAATTGGAAACATTTTGGAGCGGAAAAATTAAGAAATCAACTCTGAAACACTGAAGTTAGAATCAAATGCCCTAGGTTTTGGTTCTAACTACACTTCCTGTATTACATGGTCATTAATCTCTCTGGGCCTCAATTTCCTCAACTATGAAAAGTGTGTGCAAGTGGCTGGGGTGAGGGGAGGAGGAGGGCATGATTAGTTGTCTCAAGACCCTTTTGGCAGTTAAGATTCTATGAGCTGCCATGTTTGTAGTTCCAGGGCTCATCTTTGATAATCTAGCAGGCAGCTTGCAATGGGGATTTGGAAATCAGGAGCTAAGCAAAGATACAGCAAATGAGCAGCAAAATTCCACTCTGGGCTTGTTCAATCACAAGGGTGGTACAACATACAAAATGGGCATGCAGTTTTCCACAAAGTATTAATTGTTTTCTCTGTTTTTTCTTATGTATTTCTTATTTCTTTCCACCTTTTTCTCCCATGTTTTCCCACTTTTTTCTTACTTAGGCTTGTATAGTTTTTCAGTTTTTCCCCTGATTAGCATTTCTTTCCCCATTTTCACTCTCCTCTAAATCACCTGTTCCCCTTCCATACACTTTTACTCTCAACACCCTGTACCCCAAGAAAAGCAGACTAGCTGAATCTTAATCCCTCATTTTATTAAATGTAATTGGAGTACAAATTAAAAATGAGTCTGTAATTCTAATTTATATTATAGGTGGAAATCAGAATAATAACTGCCCCGCACAGTAGTAAAACAAATTCCTGGCACTGTTAAGCTCATCTGATTCACATTCACCCAGCTCCTGGGCAGTGCTAGTTAGGGACCATGATCTCAAATTCATCTCTCAAACCTCTCAGCAGTTTGTGAAAATTACATTTTTTTCTCCTTTCTGCATAACGTTTTGGGATAAAGTGGCACTTCAAATGCACTGTTTGTATGACAAGTTTAAGAATGAAATAGGGTCCACATTAAATTTGTCTCTCTGGATCTGGGTTAATTTCTCTTTCTTTCTCTTTCTCTCTTTCTCTCTCTCTTTCTTCTTCTTTTTTTTTTTTTTTTTTGTTTTTTGTTTTTTGTTTTTTGAGACGGAGTCTTACTCTGTTGCCCAGGCTAGAGTGCAGTGGCACGATCTCAACTCACCGCAACCTCTGCCTCCCAGGTTCAAGCGATTCTCCTGCCTCAGTCTCCTGAGTAGCTGGGACTACAGATGCATGCCACTATGCCCAGCTAATTTTTTTTTTTTTTTGTATTTTTGTATTTTTAGTAGAGATGGGGTTTCACTGTGTTAGCCAGGATGGTCTCAATCTCCTGACCTCATGATCCGCCCACCTCAGCCTCCCAAATTGCTGGGATTATAGGCATGAGCCACTACGCCCGGCCCCATTTCTCTACTTTCTGAACTTTAAGTTTTTGCCTTTCTAGGATTAATTTTCCTTTACTTTTTAAATTTTTTTTATAGTGAGCCCAAATTATAGGCTTATCTCTGGTTCTTTGATATTTTTTCAAAGAGACAAAGGATAGAGATTCAAGAAAAGAACAGAAGGGAAAATCACATTAAATATTGGGAGTTTCCTTCCCACCCTTACCCATCTTTCTTTTCCATGTTCCTCTTAAATATTACAAACCAAATTCCTTGGAATCCTAAGCAGCCAGGTTTATTCTTTGTTTGTAAAACCCAGGCTTAATAAAAAAGGAGGGAGCCCTCTAAAAGGGAACCTGCTTGTGAAATTCAACAATAAGCTCCATTGCAAGAATAAATACATTTTTGATGAGGTGGTTAGGACATAATCTGAATTTGATATTCAAAATGAGTTCTTTCTCCTTCTGTGCCTTTTTTTTTTTTTTTTTTCCTGCTTTTAACTTTTTTTCTTTCTTTCTCACTTCCTCTCTATTGATCTCTTCTCTACTTTCCCTACTCTTTTTCTTTTTTCCCCTCTGGTTCTCTCCCCTCATATCAAATCTCCTTCTAATTTCCTCAAACTTGTGCCTCATCTGTCTCCCCTTTTCTCAAGGGAATGAATGTGAGGAAAGAAAAGTTAAACAGAAAAAGACAAAGTTGGTGGAAAAACATGTAAGACAACTGAAAGGTAACTTTTTAATTATAAGTCTCTATAGGAATACATGATAGCTATGATACTGTCACACAAAAAAGTTGTCAGTAAGTGGGGTCTTTTAACATTAAATCTTATTCTACTGTAGTAACAATATAAGTGGAATGAAATGTTAGGGGTTTGTTGTGGTTTCTGCTCTAGAATCCATCATGGGTCAAAAGATAACATCAGCACAGGGAAGAGGAGAGGGGGCTTCAGGTGAGGCACTGGAAGAGAATTATGTGTTGTGCTACCATAGAGATTCCTCTCATTTCTGTACTTCTTTGCAACCTTATCACGCTATTTCCCAACCTGCTTTTTAGATCAGCCAATACAATTAAGACCTCTTTTTTTCATAGCAAAAGGATACGGATATTCGTAGAGTGCCTGCAGGGCTGTCATGTACAGTTGTGTAGCTTGTACACACCATCCATGTTGTAGTTTATGTGCAATTCATAATCTGCACAGCTGTATGCGGTGGCCCTGGCCTACTGTATTTGAAGTTTCTTTGAAACACCAGCTCTGCAGTGCGTTGCTAAAGAATGAAACTTCTCTCAGCCATGATAACAATACCCGGTAGCACAGAAAGAGTTGAAGCAAATGCAATTCTAGGGCCATTGTGTCTTCTGTTGCCTCCTTCATAAAGCTAATGCTGTGTGTGTGTGTGTGTGTGTGTGTGTGTGTGTGTGTGTGTGTGTGTGTACCAGGGCTGAGTTCACAGAATTGAAGAGGGGAGGTTGGTGGACCACGGTGGCCTGGGCAGTAACCCCTTCCCCATCCTGGCAGGGCCTTACTGATAGAATCAAGGTGCCCACTCTTCTGTCCATCCTTCTGTCACTCTGCCACCAAAAAGCCAGCTTAGCACTTGAGCATTTTGTTTATTTACTTGTTTATTTTTTCTGTGTTTTTTGTTTGTTTGTTTGTTTGTTTTTGTTTTTCGAGACAGAATCTTGCTCTGTCGCCCAGGCTGGAGTGCAGTGGTGCAATCTTGGCTCACTACAACCTTTGCCTCCTGGGTTCAAGTGATTCTCATGCCTCAGCCTCCCGAGTAGCTGGGACTACAGGCACATACCACCACGCCCGGCTAACTTTTGTATTTTTAGTAGAGACAGGGTTTCACCATGTTGGCCAAGCTGGTCTCAAACTCCTGACCTCAAGTGATCTGCCCGCCTTGGCCTCCCAAAGTGCTGGGATTAAAGGCGTAAGCCACCGTACCTGGCTGAGCATTCTGTTTATTAACAGGGCCCCGCCAAGATACACACTGTAGGTGAAAGGTAATGGACCAGAGCAGAACAATGTGGCTGAAAAACAACAAATGTCCACACTCAATAATCCCCTGGCCTCCATATACATTTCCTGATCTGTACCTGTTCTTTTGTGACTTCTTTCCCCCTTAAGAATGCTCCTGCCAGGCACAGTGGCTCATACCTGTAATCCCAGCACTTTGGGAGGCCGAGGCGGGTGGATCACAAGGTCAAGAGATCGAGACCATCCTGGCCAACATGGTGAAACCCCATCTCTACTAAAAATACAAAAATTAGCCGGGCGTGGTGGTGCGTGCCTATAATCTCAGCTACTCGGGAGACTGAGGCAGGAGAATCGCTGGAACCCGGGAGGTGGAGATTGCAGTGAGCTGGGATTATGACACTGCACTCCAGCCTGGCAACACAGTGAAACTCCATCTCAAACAAACAAACAAACAAACAAACAAAACATGCTCCTAATATTCCCCGTAACTTGCTGTATGGTGTGGAGACAGTGATGAGTGGCATACAGGGTGACACGTGCTGGCTCCTACATCCACCTAGACAGAGTCCAAAGTCCTGCCATCTTTCAATATAGTATGGAATTTAAACAGAGAAATTACTTTCAAGATAATTCAATATTTTACAATGATTTCAATCCCTTGATGGATATATTCAGCAACAAAATTTCAAAAATTAGGGTCTCATTAAGACAGAGCTGCAAATGCAAAGAATGACAAAAAAATTATATATACCATACTTAAATTTTGACTTATTAAATTGAAAAGGTTGCTCCCAAATACTTATATTTTGAATAGCTGATATATGGGAAAAAGTAGATTTTTTTTTTAATGGTAGAAAAAGTTAGTTACTAATACAGACTTCATATTGTTACAAATAATGTGAAAGATTTCATCTTATTACCACTGAAGTAATGTGAAAGTTATTTGAACTCTTATTTACTATAGCATATTATGATGTTTGCAGGTCTTATGACCAAATCTTAGGACTCAGTACAGCACAGATTAAGAACTTGCAAATAATTCAATAGCAGGTATAGAATTTTAATTTTATTTTTTGTTTGTTTTAATTTTTGCTAGAAATTTAAAAGAGTAAAAGCCCATAATCTTAATCTTAACATCCTGAATGGATAGGTTTTTCCTTGAGTAGAAACAGCTTTTAAAAACAACAATTTTAAGAAATTAAGTTTCTTGTCCGAGTGCGGTGGCTCACACCTGTAATCCCAGCACGCTGGGAAGCCAAGGCAGGTAGATCACCTGAAGTCAGGAGTTTGAGACCAGCCTGACCAACATGGTGAAACCTTATCTCTACTAAAAACACAAAAATCAGCTGGGCATGGTGGCTGGCGCCTGTAATCCCAGCTACTCGGGAGGATGAGGCACGAAAACTGTTTGAACCCGGGAGGCAGGGGTTTCAGTGAGCCGAGATTGTGCCACTGCACTCTAGCCTGGGTGACAGTGAAACTTTGTCTCAAAAAAAAAAAAAAAAAGAAATTAAGTTTAATAATGTTTTAATGGCTAGATTAAAAAAAATGAGATCTTATTCATCCAAAGGATCTTTATTTTTTATATCAAGAAGAAAAGTTGTAGTATAAATATACTTTTCTATGTTTCAGTCATTTATTTTACCTGTATTTAGTTTCTCTTGTCTTATACTTAACAGTAACAACATTAAAAATATTCTGTATTTCAGACTTTTGAATTAAATGGACTGACTTCTCCACCTTTTCTAAAAATCAGATACAAACTACTAAACTAAAAAGCAAACACAGCTCAGGAAAAGACATTCAGCGCAAGAGGAAAACCAAGCAGTGTCTTCTATGTGGCAGAAATAAAGCCTATTACTAATCATTAAGAATTCAAATCCATGTCAATCTAATTTCATAAAACTTAACTATTTTAATTGTGGATATCTATTTTTAAAGGAAGCTAGAGGACAATGCAAAACTATAAGATTTTCAATTCATAAACTCAGTTTTTATCCATGGGGTTTCTTTTCTTTGGGATTGATGGAAAAATTTGTTATTCTCTTGGTTTCACTTTTCTCATTTGTACATTAGTCCAACACTGTTTTGTTTCTAACATTGGAGAATGTGGGATCATTCAAAGTGGGGACAGTGTTCATTTCATCTTTTGTTCTAGCTGAGTACCTGGTGCTGAGAGACAGTATTTATTGAATCAGTGTGTCATTTTCAAACAAGTTAAAAAAAAATCCATGTACTTTTAAAAATAAAAAAGAAACTACAGACAGTCCCCATCCAGAGAATGATTTGACTTTTTAAAAGCCATCGCTTATTTTCTAAAAGCTGCCAGTCACGCTACATGTTTTTTATCCATTATCTCACTTAATCTTCACAGTAATATGAGGGACACTATTATTTTTCCTTGTTTTACAGGTGGTGAAAGTGAAGCTTAGAGGTTAAAGTTACTTGTCCAAGTCACACAGCTAGAAAATGGTGGAGGTGGCCTCTGAACCCAAGAAACCCAACAGCCAAGCTAAATGCAAATTTGCGATTCACATTAGAACTCATGCTTTTAAATTCAGAATAAGGGTAGTTAGGTTTTTTAAAAGCTATAGAAATATATTTAACTCAAATTTCACACAAATAGTACTGGTTTTTCTACTGTGAACTGAGAATATCTCTTATCTTCATCTTTCCCTTCCTGTCCCACAGGCAACCCTCTAGAACTGGGCAGTCCAATACGGTGGCCAATAGGCATATATGGCTATTGAGCACCTGCAGTGTAGCTAGTGTGACTGAGAAACTGAATTTTAGATTATTTTAAATAAATGTAAATTCTAATTTTAAAACTAGAACAGTGTAGAATATTTTTCCATTAAACGCAACTTTATTGTTTTATTGTTTTGGTAGGGCTACATTTTTCACTTCAGCTGTTGAAAATCTAGTGTCCAAATTGAGATAAACTGTAAGTGTAAAATATATGCCAGATTTGGAAGTCTTTGAGAAAAGAAGAATGTAAAATATTTAATACATGTTATATTGATTATATATTTAAATAATATTTGAATATATTTGTTAAATAAAAATATTTAAGGATTACTTTCATCTGTTTCTTTTTACTTTTTTGATGTGCCTATTAAGCAATGTGTCACAAATTACATATATGAAAAAAAAAAATGTGGCTCATGATAGATTTCCATCAGATAACACTGCTCTAGAGAAAAACCATCTACCCAGTCTCTTGGTCCACAGTCTAGGGAATTCCTCCTCCTCTTCTCCCTGCTGTTCCAAAGTCAGAAGGTTTCCAACCTTCACAGTCAGGAGTAAACACAGAGATTCCACGAAACCGAGAGGAGACTAACGTTTTTAAGTTAGGTATATACATAAACCAACAGTTTCTAATTTGGAGATGGCTATATCATCATAGAAACTGTTTTCTTGATACAGATTGTCGGTAACTTTTACTTTTGTTCGCTTGGGGGGAAAAAGATTATCTGATAAATTGATTCTTACAGGTAGAAAGCTATAACTATAAGTTATAACTTTCTATCTAGCAACATAATCCTTCAAAAGGCAACATACACTGTAGTTGGTGTACAACCACCTTGGAAAAGAGTTTGGAAAATTAAGTTAAGACATATGATCAGCTGGATGTGGTCACTCATGCCTATAATCCCAGCACTTTGGGAGGCTGAGGCAGGA